TGATTTAGAATCATAAACAAATTAAGTTCATTTTATGAATACCAACTTTTAGGAATATTTAATAATTCACTTTGTAAGTTATAAGATAGTAGCTCTTAGCCATACATAAAAATGCGTCTATGGATTTCAGTAAGAACTGAAGAAGGGCCTTAGATTTTTGGATCAGTTCATGGTTGATCAAGGGATCACCAACCAGGCTTTGAGAATCAGTCCTTTCTAACGCTAGTTTTTATGTGGCTTTGAGTTGTTAAAGAGTCTGACCCTAGCCTTAATTCTACATGATCTTGTAAGTCCACTTCTCAACACTGGCAGACTAAGTTTGATCTGGTAGCACAGATTCTCAAGAGAAAGAATCTGACTGACTCAGTGTGGGTCACATGTCCACTTCTGAATCTATCAGTTATGGCATGGAATTAGTCACCTGGTACAAACTTGGCTGCAGAGGCCTCTCTCTTTAGTAGGGGATATGGAGATACATCCAAGGCCTCATATTTGTTTATCATAACAACAACTACATCTGTGCCAATATGGATAGTGTGATAGTGATCTGTGGGCTCTTTCACAGTCTAAGAATTCATATGTTTGGAACATAGCTGAGGTGACGGCATATAAGAGGAAAATAAGGGAGAACAGAGAGTTGTCCTGAATTATATAAATTTTCTCTTTCAAAATTACATTTCACTGAGGACATCATCAAGTTTTTCAGGCAATATTAAGTTCACCAACACCTTGAGCAGCAATTCCACTCTACATTTCCTCACTTCCCATCACCCAGCTGCAAGAAAGGAAACCACTCTCCTCCCTATTGCTCCTTCACCTCATCCTTTCCAAGGCCAGCCTTACAGAGAGCAGACAGGCTGCACGACGTCACTTAAGGGAGACTCTCTCCTTTACACCCAAGGTGAAGGAGACCTTGCATAAGTTTTCCTAAATCATCGGGACAACTTCCCTATCAGCTGACCTAAAAATGTTTAGACTGACTATGTAAAGTTACATTAGTGAAAAACTTACACTATTAGAGTACTTTATGTGAGATATGTCCTTTATAATGCCTATATTACAGTAATGATTATCCATATTATGAAATGTGTCCGATAAATATAAGTTGTGAAGTGTGTCAGATAAATATAAGTTTTACTTGATTATGATACTTAACTCTGCTTATATATGCTCAGTTTTCACAAAAGCTCAGTCAGCACGGTTATCAGCTTAAGACTAAAAAAGGGACAGACAGAGGGCTGGCCTGGTGGCAGAGTGGTTGAGTGCGCACGCTCTATCGCAGCGGCCCAGGGTTCGCAGGTTCGGATCCCGGGCGCGCATCAACGCACCACTTGTCAAGCCATGCTGAGGCGGCATCCCATATAAAGTGGAGGAAGATGGGCATGGATGTTAGCCCAGGGCCAATCTTCCTCAGCAAAAAGAGGAGGATTGGAAACAGATGTTAGCTCAGGGCTAATCTTTCTCACAAAAAAAAAAAGGGGACAGATAGAAAGACCTCTATATAGCAGCTACAGTGATCTTTAAAAATGTAAACCAATCCATGTCAGTCCTCTGCCTAAAGACTTTCAATGCCTTCCCAGTGCACTCTGCATAAATTCCAAACTTCTCGTCCTAACCAACAAGGCTATAGTTGATCTAGTCTTGTCTGTCTCCTCACATTAGAGCACAAGCTTCTTAAAACTGTTTTGTTCACTAATACAGCCCAAGTCCGAGTAAAACACCTAACACAATGTAGCTGATCACTAAAAATTTGTCAAATTAATGAATGGCTATCATAGGAATGATTATTTTCCTGAAGGAATGGACTGCAGTCAGCTTCAAAATAGCATCCATTTATTCCTAGAGAGATTAGAAACAAGTAGCTTACTGCCATGCTTGCTCAGAAGGCTCAGAACGAAGTGCAACAGGTTATAAATATATAAAAGGTTATAAATGGCAGCATTTCCCAAGTGTGTTTCTTAGGACTAGCGCCAAGAGATATTTCTTTATAATGGAGTTCAAGTGTCTTATCTGTATACCTAACTGCCTACTCAACATCTCCATTTGGATATCTAAGAGACGTCTCAAATTTAATAGTCCCAAACTGATTTCATTTTCATTCACTCAGTAAAAGGCAATAAGTACTTCTAGTAGCTCAGACCAAAAACCTCTACGTTTTCCTGACCACTTACTCTCACATTCGCATCCAATTCATTAGCTAATCTTGTTGGCTCTACTTTCAAAATATATCCAGAATCTCAGCACTTGACTCAGCTTCACTGTAACCACCCTGGCCCGAGCCGCTATTTTCTTTTCCCTGGATTATCAAAAATGCCTCCTCACTAGTCTCCCTCCTTTTATCCCTGGCTGTCCTCTCAGTCTACTCTCAACACAGTAACCAGACTGATCCTTCTCAAAGGTAAGTCAGATCATGTCACATCTCTGCTGAAAACCCTCCATGGTTTCCCATTTCATTCAGAATTAAAGTCAGTCTCTTCAATGGCTTGCACTGCCCTACAGGAACTGGCCTCTGATTATCTTTCTACCTTCATTGTTAATCACTCTGCTCTAGGTACAGCACGCAAAGCAGGCTCCTATCTCAAGGCCTTTCTTTGCATTTGCTGTTCCTTTATTTGATCAGTGAGGCCTTTCCTGACTATCCTATATAAAATTAACAAACCAATTCCAACCCCATACCCAGTTTTCTCCAGCTCCCTTCACTTGTTTCTGTTTTCTTTATAATATGTATCACTATCTGTCACAATACATGCTTACTATATTTGTTTATTGTCTGTTTTCTCTGTCCAGAATATAAACTCAGTAAGGGGAGGGGCTTTGTTTTGTTTCACTGCTGTTTCCCTAGCACAAAGCCTGATCAAATAAGTGATGTATGTGAGTGTGCGTGTCTGAGTGTCTGTATGTTGTCAGGAGAGGGAGGGAGAGAGAGAAGAAAAGGGCGAGAGGATACGGAGGAAGAAACTCCTTTTATAAAATACTTCAGAAATAGTATTTCTTGGGGTGCACTTTCTGAAACTCGTCTGTAAGTTTTGGAACTAAAAGAAAGCTGGAATTTGTAGCCTTCTGACCCTCTGAACTTTGGCTCACAAAACAGAAATACTTTAACAGGTAAAGGATGAAATGACTCAATATTTAAAATACTAAACTATATTCTAATGAAACTGGCTATTTCTATAATCTAATCTCTTAACAGATTTAAAAGGTATAGCATGCTGAGGTGAAAAAGAACAAAAGTTTTGCTCTTGTCGTGTCCAATCTATCCTTCTGAGACTCATCTGAAAAATACTCACCAGGGCATTGCTGAGAAGACTGAACAATATATCACTTCCTTAGTATCTAGGACTGACACCTGGTTTACAGTTAAATGCTCAATAGCCATCCATTTATTTCTTATAGATCTGAAATATATCTATTTCAACTTTTAAGAATGAAAAATTGTGATGTATTTTTTTCTTACCATAATTGCAAATGTTTAGGAATTAAACAATTCTAGATTTCTAATTCGGAGTCCCATTGTGATCTCTGTTCTACAAGCACTGTTTTACTGTCATTATGAGACGAGCCCACCAAGGTGGTAGAAAATATCTTAGAATTGGTAAGGATATTACATATCAGGACCTGCAACTCTCACTGGGGAATAAGGAAGGAATTATCAGAATGGGAAGGAAAAGATTACGAAGTGTTTAAAAAACACATTTAAAGTCACAATTTTATATTTCAGAGGGAAAAAATCCTACAGCTTTGGCAAGAGAAAGCAAAGCTCAACATCATTTTCTTGGCAGATGGGGATGCGCTAAAGATACTGTGATTCAACCAAACGATTATATCACTGGAGTGTTGTGACATTTTCATGTTGATCAAAAGGAGTTAAAAGCTTTTTAAAAAGTCTGAGAAAACTTTATCTAGACCAACCCACTAGATATGTTTACAGGTTAAAAAACAAACAAACAAATCCAAAAAACAGAGTCCCAAAAAAGTTACTAGAACCTCCAAGTCAGAGAGCTGGGGAGTTGCTCAAAGTGGACTTAAAGAAAGATCCTTCTAACCCCTAATCCAGTTCTCAATACATTATACACTGGCTATGGTTAATCAAGAATTAACTGTATACCAGGTGACAAAATGCTTCCCGCGTTCAATAAAGACCACTGAAGTACACTGAAACAAAGGCTTCATTTTAATACTTGAGTTCTTTACTGACAAATATCTGCCCTTGCTTCCCATATCCATATCCTAGAAAGAAGGCATATCTCTTTAGACTTAATAAAGGCTTCTTTTGCGTATCATTATATCACTTAATATTTACAACAATCTGGTCAGCTCAGTGATACTGTACCCACTTTGCAGACAAAAAACTGAGGTTAAGTGAAGTTAAGTAACCTGCCCAAGACCATAAAACTAGCAGAACTGGAATTCAACTCAGTCTAGCTCCAAAGCTTCTTCAACCACACCAAGCTGCCCTCCAGCACCACCCCCGCCCTCGCCCCCGTAAGGAAACAGAACTCGTGAAATTTGTCTGCAGAGAAGGAGCAGGGGCTATGCTTTTCCGAGGGTCTTGGCCGTATTTAATCCGCCTAGTAACCAGCAGGTAACAGAGGTACAGAAATCAAATGAATCGCTGTTATCAGTGCAAGATTATTATTTAGCACTCTTGGTTACGAGTTGGTCTCAACTGAACGTACTGAAAAATAATTTCACAGTTTCAATTTAGGATTTTTAGAAACTGCTTGGAAAATCGGGGAACTGTGCCCTCAGGCGGTCAAAACGGGCCCACCACTGGAGCTCGCTACTTGTTCAGCTGGTGCAAGGCCAATCCAGCAACGCCGCAACTCTCCTGCAATCTCCCGAAGCAGCAAAAGCGCTGGACTCACCAAAGCACAGGCAGCCGGCCCCGCCCAGGGAGGCTATACGCATGCGCCCTCCCGGCCTCTCCCGAGGCTACCACCGCCTGGTGGCGCCACTTCCCCCACGCCCGTTTCACCCGCTCAGCCCGCTCTTTCGAATACCTTTGTCTAATTCCATAAGGGCAGAGTTAGCATCCAGCTCCTGTTCGCCATAGCCGGCATCTGCCAAGAAAGACTTAGTTGAGTTTGACGCCATGACCCGACTAGTTACTCGACTAGTCTATTCAGAGAGATTGCAAACTCTGCCCCAGCACCGCCATCTTCTTCCACCACCTTCTCGCGGATTTTTCCTCCGCGCTCTGTCAAGCCGTGTTACGCATGCGCCCTGGTCACCCTGCCGTTCGCCAGCTCCTCTGCGGCCCCCTGCGCAGGCGCTCAGGGAGCTCGTGAACTCTAGGTTCCCGCGGCTGGGAGAAAAGAAGGCGGGGATTCGAAGGGGGAAGTGACTTGGAGGCGCCCGGACGCCGCGGCGGGAGCCAATCAGAGGGCGTGACGTCAGTTTGGCGGGGAGTTTGGTGGCCGGGGCTTACAGTGGCGGGAGTTGGAGGCAATAACTAATCGTGTTGTGAGCAGCGCAAGCTACGCTTTCTGCCGAACCTGGGGGCATCTCCACGGCTTTTCCCTCACTTGAGCCTGCTCTTGCGGCCCAGATGCTCTTCAATTCGGTGCTCCGCCAGCCCCAGTTTGGCGTCCCGAAAAATGGTGAGTAACGGCCATAACTGCTGCTTGTTGCTGGCGGGATTCGCCTCCCCCGAAACAACACCTCGGACCAAGGCCGACTCCGCTTCTGTTTCCCAGCCCCGGTGGCCGTTCTCCCACGGCCACGAGTTCGTGTTAGCGAGAACTACTGACGAAAGCTGCACTTATATGCCCTCGGGACACTTTTAATCGTAATCGGGATTTTTTTAATCGTAATGTAGGTTGACGGAGGGAGGGAAGTTGAACTAACTGGCCTCCTTTACGGCGTAGATCTGTGTTGCACATTAACTGGAAAACGCATGCGTTTTTTGTGGGTTTGTGGTTCTCTCAACAGCCATGTGAGGTCGTCAAGACTCGTACTCATTGATTAATTCATTCCTTTGTCGTAGAATCTTAGTGAGCCCTACTATTTGCTATATACAGCAGTGAATAGGATCCGCTCGCTGCTAAGGAACTCAGTCAAGCAGAGAACACAAGCTTCTAGCGTGGTCAAAATTTTTTCCCCCTGTTTACTACATGGGCATAAAAATTGGAAATTACAGAGTGGAAAATACCCATAACCACATCCCCCAGAGAGGACCACTGTTAATAGACTGGAGTGTATTATACCAAATGTTTTTCAATGCCAAAGGTAACATGTATCGTTATTTACAGAAATGGGATCAAAATGGTTTTGTTTTGTTTTTCACTTTAGCGGTATAACTTGGAAATATTTCCTTGTTAGTATGTAGAAATCTAACTTATTCTCTACAGTTCTTGAGGTTCCTTAGGTTAAAGCATTGGCAATAGGAGTTTTAAGCTTAGGTTTGGGTGTCATCAACCTGAAACGTTTTAAGTTTCTGGTAAGGGAGTTACTACACAGACCAGCATGGATAGAAATGAAATCTCATTCATTTAAAGATGGACTAGGTCTTCTTTCCCCTTGAAACCATGTGGAAAACATCAAGAAAAGAATCTGAGAAGGGAACTTTTTATGTTTAAGCCATAGGTCTAGGGAAAGGATATTGAGGAGACTGAGGAGTAGTCCCTCACCTTCCTGCCCCCAGTCTAAAACTTTATGCCATCCTTACCTGCTTCCCTCTTAGATAATCTTTTAAATTATATTCTAAATGTCCCTCTTTCTGTCTCTCCTGGGACCTTGCTTGAGTAACTTGTCTATCCTCTGTGTCATGAGTGGCAGTGCCATGTACGGTGGTTAAGAGCTCTGTCTTTGGAGTTAAACTGCCTAAGTTTTAATTCCAGCTCCACTCCTTACTGTGTGACCCAGGGCAAACTATTTAGCTTCTGTTTTGTGACAGATTTTCTCCTAATTCTCCAATCTGTCTGTCTACTTCTTCCCCTCTCTCGTTCCTTTACAAAAACTCATTCATTGTTATGAACTAGGCACTGAAATTCTTTCATTCTTATAAATTATGCACTGAACTTTGTAGGACTTTCTTCTCCTTTCCCCTTCGGTGTTGGTGTTCCATCCTAGGCCCCTTTTCTCTTCTACCTACTCCCATGGATGATCATAGCCGTAACCAGGGCTTCTTCCACTACTACCTGCAACCTTGCCTTCCCTATACTTTATGTCCATTCCTATAAAAGCTGGATGAGTATCTTCACCCAGATGGTCAGTCCCACAAGCATTTCAAACTCACGTACCCAAAACCGAACTCACTTTTCCCCCAAACCTGCTATGTTACCTACTTTAGGAAGTGGTCCCATTATTTTAAACTAGTTTCCCCAGCCAGAAACCTGAGAGTCAATCAAAATTCCTCCATTTTCCTCAAGATACACATTCAGAAAGTTCCATTAAAATCTCTTGAATCCATCCTCCTCTCTGTTCCCACTGATTTTGCCTCTTCATCATATCTTGGATCTGTTCTATGCTTACCATTCTATTTCCCTAAGTTGGGGCCTAATACCTTCTTGTCTGGATTATAACAAGTCTCCCAAATGGCCTCTTAGTTTCTCTCTCTCCAGGTTATTCTCCATATTGCTGCCAATGATCTTTCTAAAATGGAAATCTGATTACTCTTCTGTGTATTTTTAAATTGGCTTTTAAAAGTTTTTATCATAAGTTTATACAGATGCAAAGGATATTATTTCTGGCCATATTGTGAATATTGGCATTTTAAAATAAAAATGCTACATCATTCTTTAAAATGTATCTAAGAGAATATAAATACTATAGTGATTTGATAATCACATGAATCATTTTTTTTAAATATAAACAAACTCTTTAACTGCTAGATATTGTACATACTTGCTTTTTCCCCTTGAATTTATACCACTTTATTTCTCCCATAGAATTTATCCTAAGGTAATTTGATTTTAAATTACCTTGAAAAGTTATTTTATTGATCACTCTATCATACTCCTCTGTGTAAAAAAATATATTTAAATTGAAATTTTCTGTGATCGTAAGGCTCCAAGTGTTAAAAAGTTTCTTCTGGATTAAATTATCATTACAATTATTAGTATGCAATTGATAAAAGCAACTTAGGTTACTAATTTTGATAAATAATTATTAAGCAAAGTAAAATTTTATTGGAAGTATATCTTTTAAAGAGATGAAATTGGGTGTTTATAATCCCTTTATTAAAGGAATTATCCAGTTATCTCTTAGTTGGGGTCTCAGAAGTTTTCATACCTTGGGTGAATGCAAGGTGTAAGACTGGGGTATGGAAATGCCTTTCTTTTGAAAACTGGAAGAAAGGCAGTGATGAAGAGAAAGGGGAAAAGAGAGCCTCAGCCACAGATCAATTTTAGAAATGCATATATATGGAAGTTGAGTATCCAGAAATTGATTCTTTGAAAACTCTCTTGCCTTCAGATACTCCCTGAAAAATCTGCATGTAACCCCAGGGGCTTAATCTGTACAATGAGGAAAGAATAGGCTTTTCCAAAAGAGTATTGTAGGGGGAAAGCATTACAGGTTCTTGGTGGAAAGAGCATAGCACAATAAGGATCCAAAAGTAGCTTAAGGGGCTGGTCCATGAAGTGTGTGTTGTGGGCAGTGCAGAAATGGAGGGGTAGTTAGGAACTCATTACTAAGCCACATTAGGCCATTTGTTGGTGGTGGGATGTTAGTCTGTAGGCAATGAGGCAGAAATGAGGGGGTCACTGTTTAATTGTAAAGAATTAGGTATCCTGAGCATGTGATCTTCAGTTCCACCTAAATTGTTCAAGATTCAGTCCCTTTGAATTCCTGTGTTGCAGTCATTAACTTTAAAACAGAGACTTTGTTTTTCAAATCCTTCTGTAGATGGATGTTTGTGAACTCTACAACATAACTAATTGTATTCTTTTAATGGTCTTTAGTGGCTTGTTTACAGTGATATCTGACCTAGAGGTAATACCCCGAGGAATAATTACTCAATCTGAATTGAATTTCTTTGCCTCCTTTGTACTGATTCCTTCAAGTTATCTCTATAAACATCCAAAACTAGATTTATCTGAGATTCTGTCAGGCTAAGATGTCTTCTCCAAACAGTATTTTTAATGAAAAGTGAGAATTGAAAGTACCCTAAAATGTGAAAGAGTGTTTTAATTATTTAGACAGGTCTCAATAGATTGTAACTTTATTGTTTCCTCTGATGCTTAGTAAACATTTGGTTCTCAGTAATTATTTATTGAATGAATGTTTCTCTTACATATTTAAAATGTGTTAACCCACATATCAAAATGATAAAACAAATCTTTGAAGATGGTTTACTATTTAGGACCATAGTGCACATTAGGTCTCTGGCCCAAGCAGAGTAAACTTTCCCTCCACCCTGAATTTCTTCCTCTCTCATATATTCAATGAAAACTATTGATCTTTCAAGACTTAGTTTGATTTCACTTCCTCTAGAGACTTCCCTGACCTTACCACTACTACTAGCCAGGGCTAACTGATTGTACTCTTGGGGTAGGTACATAACGCTTTACTTTAAAATTGCTCTAATGTACTTTAAGATACTATGACTTGTTGCTGTTGACATTTTAGAATCCTAGAATTTTAGCAATGGAAAGAAGAGAGGAAGTGAAATTAGTATTGTGAATATGTTAGTGGCTATACTAGGCACATTGACATACAGTATTTCCTTTAACTCCTTGCCCATTGGATTATGTATGATGTTGCTAGTAACTTAAAGAGTTTGCAGTAATGTTGATTTAGAAACTCTAAAAACAGAAGATGTTAATCGAAGAGAATGGCACTTTTAATGGTTGTGGTAGTCTTTGTGGTTGTCACCAAAATGTGAGAGAAGGGGTATAATTTTTTAAATGTGCAAAGTCCACTTGTTTCTTGCAATCTTAAATGTACTAGTGAACGTCTTCGTTTAAGATGGTAAGCCCAAACCTATACCTCACCATAAGTTGGGAGTACTCTTTCATTTCTTCCTTAGGAAAATACCAGAAACTATTCCAGAGGACCATGAATAGTGAGTGGATCTATATGAAGTATATACAGCTTTTTAAAACAAATATTTACCTCTGCATTTATTAAAAGTACTGAAATGTGATGATATATTGGACTTCTATAAGGAATTGTGTCTGTTTTAGGATGGTCTTCACAATACCCTCTGCAGTCCCTTCTAACTGGTTATCAGTGCAACAATAATGATGAGCACACTTCTTATGGAGAAACAGGAGTCCCAGTTCCTCCTTTTGGATGCACCTTCTCTTCTGGTAAGAGAATTACTATCTAAGCCAGGCTTGGTCAGAAATGAGCTATTTCACACTTAGAGGAAAA